GGTCCTTTTATCTGATGACTGTCGGGTTTGTCCAGGGTGCTGCTGCTTGTCATCCCAGCAGCTCCAACTCGTGCCAACCAGAGGACAGTGCTGCGCTGCCCGGCATCGTCCTCGTGGTCAGCCAGATGTTGGCATCCCCTGTTGTTTGGGGTGCTTTCCAACCTGAGCAAAACACTTGGCTGCTAACTGAAAGGTCGGTGGTTTAAACCCACCCAGAGGCTCCACAAGAGAAAGAGCTGGCAATCTTGGTCTGGAAGGTGAACCTCTGAAGACCCTACAGGTCACTTCGACTCTGTTGCATGCAGTTGCTACGAGCTGAGAGCAGCTAGCTGACACCCAACAACAGCAGGAAGAACACAGGACCCCCTGGATGGCATCAACCGTCTCCATCCAAAGATTGCTGTCCATCCGTGCCGAGTCCTGGGGACCCCTCGTGGGCAAAGCAGAACTGTGCTCCAAAGCGTTTTCTTGTTTGTGACTTGCAAGACATTTCTTTCAAGCTACTTCTGGTTGGTTTCAAACTGCCAGCCTCTCGGCTAGCAGTCAAGCCTACGCCACCCAGGGATCCTCCATCAAGATGGCAGCTAAGAGAACCATCTGGGGCACTTCGACGCCATTGTAACACCTGGGGTGCCAACAGCTGGATGCAACAGCCACCACATAGGTGTGTTTTCGTTTCAGGAAGGACACAAGCATGTCTCACAAGCAAGCACTCCCCAATCCCTTCCGTGTAGCTCACAAATTCCAAGAAGAGACTGGTGATGGGTTTGATTCCTGCCATCTCCACACAAGGGTTTTCAGAGACGATAGGAATTGTCATTCAGATCCCTGGAGTGGGCCAGACAAGTGGGCAAGCATCTCTGTGAGCAGGTAGACATGCAGCCCCAGCACAAATTGGTCTTCTGCGTTTAAAAAAAGAAAAAGAAAAAAGGAACCAGAAACTTGGAGTTTGGCTTTGTTGTTATCTTCTGTTTGGTTGGTTTTTGCTATTAGCACTCCTGATTCCTCTCTGTGGCAATCAAAAGGTGTTCAATGATTTTAAATGGTCCTTAGCACCGGGGGAGCAGTGGATATATGTTGGGCTGCAATCCCCAAGGTCAGCAGTTCAAAACCACCAGCCACTCCATGGGAGAAAGAAGAGGCTTTCTATTCCCATGAGTGTTATAGTCTCAGAAACCCACAGGGACAGTTGTACCCTGTCCTATAGTGTCGTGGCAATGAGCCACAGTGAGTTTGGTTTGGTTTATTAGCCAAAGAAAACAAATACTTGTTCCTGCGTCAGACCAGGTTGGTGACCTCTGATTTCTAGTGAGGCTAAACAGGTAATAATAAATCCCAGGGATGATTCAATTCTTAGGGCCAGAATTTTAGAACCATCCAGGAAAAGGGAGTTGGGGTTGAGGACACAGAGTCACAGCTACCAATCTCTTTGCCATGGAAACTCCACAGGAAATGATTTTTTTTCTTCAGTACCGAGAGATCAGTGGGAGGCTAATAATAATCCCCTACATTGATGTAACCCTTGAAGATTGAGTGTGTGCTCGTGTGGAATTTGATTTGATTCTCACGCTGGTCAGGAGCCTGTTGAGAGCACCCGAGGCTTACTACTGTGTTAAAGGGGAGCTAAGGGCCCCCACACTCCCACTTCCAGAAAGAAGGAGAGAAGAGGCAGTCAAGTAATAGGAGAGAACCATGGTTTAAGGGGAAACACTTAGAAATCAGGTCATTTTCCATCCCTGATTTGTATCCTTCTCTCTTATCACCCCTCCATTTGATAATGCTCTCCTGCTCTGCGGCTGGAAAGCAGGAGGCTGGGTGTAGGTACGATGTGGGCGCAGGACCCTGCTGTGCAGAAAAAACAATCTGGAAGGATTGATTACGAAAATGCTGCCTTGTGGCTGAGGGTCCCCAGAGGCCCTCATTGACTTGTTGATGCACAGGGAACCCAAGCAAACCCTGACTCACCTCGGTGGAGGTCACACTCATCGCCGTCCAGTTGATTCTGAGTCCGAGCGCCCTGCAGGGCAGAGTACACCTGCTCTCGGGGGTTCCAAGATGAGACATTTTTACAACATAGAAAGCCTCTTCTTTCTCCTGAGGAGCTGCTGCTGGGCTTAAACTGCTGTCCTTGCAGTTAGCAGCCCAAAGTGTAGCACACTGCACCACCCAAGCTCCTCTGGTTGAGTCCTTGGCCATGAATAACAGTCTTTAGCCAAAGCCAATCATTAATCTATTTTCTCAGCCTGAAAAGCTCTCTTATCAAAAGTGGGGTGACATCAGGGGATGGGTGCATTCACTTCTACCCCACTTCTCTCCCATGCCCCCCCCCACCCCTCCGCCACACACACACACACTTTGTCCTGGTGGCATAGTGGTTGGTTACTCATTGGGCTGCAATCCACAAAGTCCACAGTTCAAAATTACCAGCCACTCCTTGGGAGAAGGATGGAGCTTTCTACTCCCACAGAGACCTGTAGTCTTGGAAACTCACAGCGGCAGTTTGACTTTATCTACAGGGTGTCTATGAGGCGTCTCGACTCAATGACTGTGAGGTTTTTTGTTTGTTTTGTTTTGTTTTTGAGCTGTGTGTCAACAGTCCCATCCCAACCCCAACTACCCAATCACACTCTGTAGGTCAACAAGGTGTTTCAATTCTGTTTCCTTGGTCTGGAAGCTTCTTCCCTTCTTGATTTTATTTATTTAATTTGTTTACTAAACAGGGGGCCAATGTCTGATTTCTGAAAACTTTCCTGTCCTCAAACACAACTGTTTCTAACAGTGAACTGTTCTCTTTTGAAATCCCTCTTTCTCCGCTTCTCTGTTTCTCTGGTTGTCCTTTCACATGATAATGGACTCTTGTTTATGTGAGTGTGTCTCCTACGTCATCATAGGAGGTGGGAGGTGTGGTGGGAAAGGTGCACACAGGAATGATGGCAACCAGGGCCTTGCTCATCCATCCAGGGCCCAGAGTAAGCACCCAATTGGATTTGGGTGGAGATTGAATTCAATTCAAACGGGATTGGAACGACCTCAGGCATCCACATTTTGTGACCTTCTGATCAATCTTCAACTTTACTCAGATTATCATGTTGCATAAATCCTTGAAATTTTAGTAAGGTTGCAATTCTGAGCATCTCTAGGGACTTTCAGTACAGCAGGGGTCATGTCCATCTCATGGGAGAGGTAAAAACTTGGGGGAAGGGTTGGGTTCCTGGCTTGGTCCCAGGCTAAGATTACCTTGGTCAACCGCCCACAATGGCTTGGGAGCCCACCCTCGGAGAGGAGTCCCTGCTGTACACATGCACACATGCTACTAACACAAGCCCCTCCCTTGACCAGCAAGTCCAGCTCACGGCGGCATAAACCTGGGCAGCCTTTAGAGTTCTCGGCTGTAGGGATCCAAGATGGTCCTTCTGTGCCTCTGCTCGTGTGTGACAGATCTGTTTCTCTATAACCAGTTACCCTAAAGTTTAGGGCATTAAACAATATTTTTATATCTCAATTTATTTCGGTTAGGACTCCTACATGTGGCTTAGCTGGGTGGAGGGAGCTCAGGGGCACAGCAGTTAAACCATTTCTGCTAAAGAAAGGCCAGAAAACAGGATCCAGCAGCTGCTCCCTGAAAACATGATGGGTTAGTCTGCTTCTATCAAGAGGTATGACCTTGGAACCCTCTGGGCAGCTTGACTCTCTCCTACAGGATTGCTATGAGTGGGAATCCACTCAAAGGCAGTGGATTTGGGTAAGTGGGTGCTTCTAATTTTGGGGTCTCTTCAGAACATGTAATCAAGATATTGTCTGGGCTTCCATCAGCTTGAAGGCTTGGATGAGGTACCATTTCAAAGATGGCTAGTTCCTACGCCAGACAAGAAAAGACTCTCTGTTGGCCAGGGTTCTTGTCATGGGGCTGTCAGGGCAGCTGGTCTCCCCAGAATGAGTAATCCCAGAGGGAGCAAGGTGAATGAGGCAATGCCTTTGATGACTGAGCCTCAGAGATCATGCCCTGTCCCTTCCACAGCACCCTGGTGGTTGCAAAGGTCAGTGCTGGTCGTGCGGAGAACGACACAAAGACGCGAGAACCAGGAGGAGAGCGTAGCTGGGAAACCAGCTGCTTTGATCAACAGTCGCCCGGTTTCTCAACTGAGGGGAATGCTGGGAAGCACCAGTGACTGACATCCGTCACCCCGACAATGATAGATGCTCAACCTTGTCGGCACCATTCCCTTTCCCATTTCCTGCCGGCACTGGGCTCCCAGCCAAAGGTCACCACTGCTCAGACCTCAGTATTCTTCCTTCTCAGTTGATGTGCAATTTCTGCGATTTATGGAATCTCACCACCACCACCCCTACTGCTCATCTCTCTTCTGCATTCTATGCGCTTTGCTCCAACTGGAGGGAAGAAGAGGTTCCAGTTGTCCGTTCTGGCAGAACACACCATCCCAAAGCACTGGATGCCGTTGCTCCTAGTTCTGGGGTCGCCTGGGTCTGGCTGAGGAGTGACAGCAGAAGTATTGGAAGTACTGGAACCCTTTGAGAGCTCGCTCCCACAGGGATTCCTAAGTTGGGAGATTCATATATGAGGGCCCTGGACCTCCTGGGTCTCCTCAGGCAAAGAGATAACAAATAAATGATAAACAATCAATGCATAGCTATAAGTGACAGATATCTAGTGAGTAACCAGGCACGCAGGCAGACACACAGACCGAAATATATATGAGAAGACGGCAAGCTGAATTTCCACATCTGGTACTGATTTAATCACCATCTTAATGTTACATAATATATTATACTCTAGAGAAAGATGGGGCTTTCTCTTTCCAGAAAGAATTTCAGTCTTGGAACCCCCCAGGGGCTGTTCTACTCAGTCCTGTAGGGTTACTGAGCCAAAATCAACTTGATGGCAGTGTTGTGTGTTTTGTTCTTGTTGTTTTACACTAATTTATGAAAATGAAATGCATGTTCAAAATACATAATCGTTGACCAAGTGCAGGAGGCTCTGCCCATCTTCACTTCTGATTTTATTCGGGAGCCACTGAGGCCTATCAGTACTGACAGGCAGCTTCGGTGAAGAGCAAACATGAGGGTCTTAGGCTCCACTTAGGGTTCCATCTCTTGACTCAAACGTTATAACAACAGGTACTTCCGGTGATAAAATTGGGTCCTTGCCTATTTTTATGGGGATCTGTAACAGCGAAACAGGCATCTTGAGAACCAATAACGGAAGCATCGGCAAGAGCAAACGCAAAGTAGACCAAGTAAGGACCGTACTGCTCTACAGACAGACAAACACTCTTGTTGCCCTCGTGTGCCTTTCTTTACACCCATCTGTCAGCTCTGTCCAGGGGGGAAGGCGAGCATATCCATCCATCTAGTCACTCAGCCAAATATTGACAAGGCAAACCAAATAAGTTTGTGCTCTTTTGCATTGAAATTACAGTATGAGTAAACTTTAAAAACGTTTTTAAATGATCCCTGGTGCTGTGGTAGTTACATGTTGGGCTGCAATCCACGAGGTCATAAGTTTGAAACCCCCAGCCCACTGTAAGGGAGAAAGACAGAGCTTTCTACTCTCATAAAGAGCTACCATCTCAGAAACCCACCGGGGGAGTTCTACGCTGTCCTATAGTGTCGCTATGAGTCAGCGTGGACTTGATGCCAGCATGTTTGGTTTTTTGGTATATGTTCAAATACATTATTTCAAATTACTTTAAAAAAGACATGTAAAGTTGCCTTTGTGCATGCTGAAACTCGTGAGGTCATCAGAAGTAGATCTTATACACTCTAATTCTATGGGTGGTTCCTGACTTCCAGAGAACTCAGTCATGCCTCCCTTGGCTGATACTATTTGAATCTCGAGGAGGCCCAGGCACCGGAATTTACTGTATATACTCGAGTATATACGGTAGTTAGTCTCCTGTTGATTCCAATGTACAACCCCTGTCCCAAAGGAGATGCTGCCAATGCTTCGGAAAAGAGCGTATTCAAAAGCAGTGGCCTCGCTCTGCTCCATGATTTTGCACAACATGCCTCTGTCTTTCTAATTGACTTGAGAGAGTTTACAAGTTTGCTGTGTGCAAATGGACTATCGGTCATCCTGTCCTCCTTATCTCCATTGACTCCACACGATCTGCATCCTGTGGTCTTTGTCAAGCCACACACACACAACTCCAGAGCTGAAAGGCCATGGATGTTCATAGCTGGCTTCTAGTAGATTCTATGGCCAATAGACCAACTTATTGAAAAATGAACGGGTAAAGTCTTATAACGATCCCTCCATTTAGAGCACTCCCAATAAAGCCTTCTTTGTGCAGAGAATGCACGGTCTGACCTGTGTTTCTTTACAGGGTCTGACGGAGAACTCCTGAAGAATTCTGATGACAGCAAGCTTCATGTTCATGAGAGCGGACCTCATGCCGATGCAGTTTCGCGGGCCAGCTCCAAAGGGCAGGTACAAGTAAGGGTCAATGTTGTCCTTGTTCTGCTTACTGAACCTGGTTCCACAGTTGCAGGAGAAAGTAGTTAGTAACTCGTTACAAAACCAAGAGCTGCATGTGTTCTGTTCGCACTTAGACCCGTCTACTGGTCGGACAGCGCGTGCTTGCATAGACCAGTCTCGGAGAGCCTGCTGTGGGGGTTGCTGTGAGAACTGTAAGCGATCCTTTCCCTAGAGTAGCTTTCAGTCTCGTTCTAGAGACAAGATTCATTCTGTTTCAAATAAAAATGCGTCTGTAAACACTACCAGTATACTCAAGGCGGTGAGCTTTGTCACTCTATGAAAGGCACCTGGGAAAGAAGGCTCTCAGAACGACAAGTAGCTTCCTGACTCAGCTCGCCTGTGTTAGTTTTACGCTCATTCAAGGAGCAAGTAGGAGAAAATCTCTCCCACGTTGGAATGCTATTTGTTGCTTCTCTTCCCTGCTCTGTTTTTGATAGCGTCTCTTCATGGCTCCTCTTCTACTACTCCTCCTATGGCTGACCCTCCTTCTGCACCTCCTTCTCCCCCGCTTCCCCTTCTTCCTCTCACTCGCTCCCATAGACAAAGCTCTCTCGAATCACAGTGTGATGACCCTTCACTATTTAGCATTTCCACCGGCTTCCTTCTTTACTTGCTCCATCAGACGATAAATTCTTTCTTGACTAACTCAATGTCATTCCAAATGGATTCTTTAACATTGAATGATTTGAAAGTAAACAACACTGATTGAGGAAAATGAAAATGGTTTTGTATTTATGAGGGTGTTTTTTACCCCAAGAGACCTCATATCTAAGAGACCATTCTAAATCATCTATAGAATATTCTTCCATTAAATAATGTGATATGTTTCAATATGACAGGGGATTAAGGAGAAGGGTGGCATAACAAGAGGACTGGAACATCAGTCATGGGTTGATGGTGTGGAGGCTGTTGATGGGCACATGGGCACATTAATAGTACCTACAGACTTGGTCGCGGGTCAAAATGTCTTCATACTGGACAATTTTTGTTTTTTGTTTTTTTCCTTCTTTTAACATTTGAAGTTTTTATTGTATGGTGCAATCCATACCACATGGTAAACACCTAGCAACTGTCTGATGAGTGAATGAATGAGGGAGAAGGGAAGTGAGCGGTCTCTGGTTTGATGTTCATGTAGGGAGTGGAGCTGCAGAGATTGTAGGAACCATCGAAGTCCTCTGGTCTAGGAAACAAAGGATTTAGTCTTCTTTGATTCAATCTTTCTGAAAGTATTATCGGGAGCCCTGGTGGTACAGTGGTTATCTGATGGGCTGCAATCTACATGGTCAGCAGTTCAAAACTACCAGCAGCTCCTAGGGAGAAGGCTGAGCTTTCAACTCCTGTAAAAAGTTACAGTCTTGGACACTCACAGGGGTCATGATGCGTCAGCATCGATTATCAAATCCAATGGCAGGGGGGTTGGTGTTTTGGAAAAGTGTTGTCGGGGATTTGGATTTCTATGTTGTACAGAGTGTATTTATACTTCCTAAAGTGGATGGCAAATTCAGAAAGCTGAAGAGCACAGCACAGACAAGCCAGAAAGAACGAAAAATAAAACCAGAAAGTCGTTAAATAAAGTCTAGCATATATCTCCAAAAATAAAAAATCATGATGTGCTTACGCTTGATAGCATGAAATGTTGTTGAAATCCTGCTCGTAAACAAGTCAGGACCAAATAAAATATGATAGCATCTACTTTTTAAAATCCATGCGTGCAGAGAAAAAAAGCCCTTACACATTCATTCTGTTACTAATGAGGACTAGCTTCAAGGGTGGGGATTATGGATGTGTGCAGCTTGGAGTTTGTTTGTTTGTTTGTTTGTTTGTTTGTTTCCTAGTCTGTGATTTGTACAATTTTGACAAGAGTAGCTTGTGACATAAGAACAAAGCTTCTAGCAATAAACAGATAGATGAGCAAATGACTGTAATCACAGGTTTGTCATCAACACTAGGAAGTGTCAGAATGTGCTCCCACCAGCCTGGGTCATCAATGGTCCCTTTCCCCAGGTGCGTCCTGTACCTTTCAGGGAGGAACTTCTCGGGCTCGGGCCAGTATTCTGGGTCTCGCTGAAGAGCAAAGGCTGGCACCATCACCACTGTCCCCTTGGGAATCATCAGTCCACACACTTCCACATCCTTCTTGCAGACCCTCTCAATTCTGCCAGCGATCGGGTACAGTCTCAGGGTTTCATTCACCACCATGTCGAGATACTCCATCTGAAGCACAGCGTCATACGTGGGGGGCGCCTGGGAAGGAAGAGACAGCATTTCAGAAGTTGACATTCCGAGCAGGCTAGGGGTTGCTCCTGAAAGTCGACTCTCCAAGGGAGAGCTGATGTTGGTAAAGGACTGTGGCATTTGCAACCTACCATGTCCCTCTGCCCACCCAGTCACATATTCAGATTGTGAAGCAGTTGTGGATATGGGAGACCCTTGGGTAAAATCCTCGAAATGGGTCTGAAATTCCTAGCATTGCCAGGAACAACAAATCAACAAATGTGATTAACAAACTACGCCCACTCTTTCAGACAAGATATGTGCATGGCACTGTCTCTTACCAACCGAAAGAAAGAAAGAAAGAAAGAAAGAAAGAAAGAAAGAAAGAAAGAAAGGCCACATCAAGGGAAAAGGAAGAGTTAAAGAAAATTCCAGTCAACAACCCCCTTGTTTCGAATAAGGCTTTGTAGTTCAGAAAATGCTGCCTACTGACTCTTTTGATATGTATACCAGCATAAATAGATGACGATGATAGATAGACATATAGATAACTAAGTCAGTAGAGAGGTAAATAGACCGGTAGGTAGGTAGGTGGGTAGTTAGGTAGGTGAGTAGGTGGGTGGGTGAGTAGGTAAATATGTAGGTAGGTGGGTAGGTAGGTAAGTGGGTGGGTGGATGGATGGATGGATGGATAGTATGTAAGTAGGTAGATAAATTGACAGTCATATATGATGAATGGATAGATGGAAGATAGATAGATAGATAGATAGATAGATAGATAGATAGATAGATAGATGATAGATAATAGGTAGATAGATAGATGATAGATAGATAGATAGATAGATAGATAGATAGATAGATAGATAGATAGATAGATGGCTGGATCTATGAATGGGTGGATGGATGATGGATGGTAGTGGTGGGGTAATGGATGACAGTGGTATGTAGTAGGTAGTAGGTAGGTAGTTAAGTAGGTAGGGAGAAGGTAGATGATTGATAGAGAAATAGATGTGTACAATCATTCATGGGAAATTTCCATCGTCTTTTCCGTCCATTTTCCCACCAACTTTTCTAAGCTTTCTTGTGTAACGTGCCTCTTAACAACCAGCTAAATATATGAACATACACGGTTCAGCTGAGTTACACTAAGTGTAAGATGTTGCGAATGCTTTTATTCTGTAAAAGAACATTTATTTTCTACGCATGCTGTATATCATAGAACTTGTTTTCTAGTTGTTTCTAAAGAAAAATTGAGTCAAGAACTGAAAGCACCTTCTATTGGGACACAGGCTCAGATGTAACGCTTTTGTAATACGTAAAATATGTACAACATGTCGTGAAAATCCGGGAGCAGCTTTCTGTGACGCAGTAGAAAGAGAAGGACAACTAAAGCCCACATCGGGCTGGCCCACCCTCCACGTCAGGACGGATCCGAGTTGTGGCCTCAGGGTTGAACCAGAAGGCTTGTGACTCGGTGGCTTCCCTCACTTCCAGACCAGCGCTCCTCCCCTGGAGGAACAAAGAACCCCCACTGTGCGATCACCTGCGAACAGTGGGGGGCGCGACCAATCGCTGGGTGCTGTACTTCGGAGACTCTGTACAGGTTAAGCTCTGGGCTCCGAGCCAGACACGCAGAAGCATGGCTCAGCTTCTCACCACTGTCTCTAAGACCCCAGGGCCATTCTCTGTTCGGCCACCACTCAGGTCTCTGATGGGGAGTGTAGGCGATCCTAATCTCTCCCTTGTGGGGCGATGCTCACTGCTTGCTACATCTCCATTGCATTTGCACATTTCCCAGCCCATCTGCAAGTAGAGGAAGTTGGATTACATTAGCTTTGCCAATGGGCTGTGCTCAGATATGAAAAATGCCAATTGGGGGCCAAAGAATTCTGAGCGCTTGCCTCTTTTGTGCCAGCCTGGGCTACCATGATGTCTTCACATTCCAGATGACACAGCTGTGAGCTGGCAGAGAAAGCATCAACGTGTTCGTGGAGGATTTTCCTCCATGAGCTTTTGAAAACCCCTCATGAGTTTTTTGGGAGGGGGGTTGAGAATTTTCATAAGGGAAAAAAGTAGTGGGAAGGCATTCTTAGCAGGACCCCACCGTCATCGTCCCTCTCCACGCGTCCTCCACTGACCTTACTGGGCAGAGCCTCGTCGATCTCCTGCTGCAGTTTCTGCTGACAGTCGGGGTGGGTGGCCATTAAGTAC